GATCGGTTTTCATGGTCTCCTTTTTTTTGAAAATTTAGGATCCCGTGTTTTCATTTCTTTAAACATTTTGTGCATAATTACTTTGAATTCTGTACCTGAAATCCTCCGGATCTAAATCCGCTCCCCCGTCTCCCGTGTGTTCGGTGTTTTGGGTTCTGAGGTTCACACGTGGGGGGATCTTTGTGGAATGCTTTCCCTCCGAGGAGGTGCCAGGAGCCAAGGAGGTTCTGCAGACCTGAGCCCGTATCCCCTTCCTTTCCGGATCGCTGTTGGGGGTGGGGCGTGGGGTCGGGAGGGAGGCGTGGGGGTAGCATTCACCTGCAGGCATTTAAAACCCAGTGCTCGCAGTTCTGGTTTATTAATCCATGGGTGTGATTTGGGGAGGGGGAGACAGGGTAGGCTACGGGCTTAGAGATGATGCCTTCCTACACGTCCATGGACGCCACAACACGTGTGTTTCCTAGGAAAGCCCCGCACACCTGTCTGCCGCATGGCAGGAAGGTTTGGTGGGAAGGGGCGGGGTCACACCCAGGGATGTGGAAGCCACCCCCAGGCCGATGCAGGAGCACTCACCTGCTGGTGTCAGGAGTGCGGCACGCGTGTGTTGCATAAGCTCAGAGGGACCGTTCAGGCCGAGCCACACTCGTGAAGTGGTCAGGTGAGGGCCGAAAGGAGGAGATGGGGAGAGTGGTACGGAGCCGGCCTCCGTAAGCAGTGTTGAGCTGATTAGGGAGCAGTGGGAAGAGGGAGAGGACGGAATCTGGGTGAGTCTGAAGGCTTATGACTAGAAATGGCGTTGTAACCATCAACAGAAATCGTGAAAACCAAAAAGGAGCCTTCGGAGATGACAGCAGATCTGTTTCCGTGCATGTTAATTTGATGCGAGGCCAAAGTATCTAAAGAGTATCTCTAGGCATTTTTTTAAATCCCTAAGCGATTGGATTTGGGGGTCAGAGATACAGATCTGAGAATTGTCCGCATAAGTTAGAAGTGACTGTCTAAGCATTAGAAGGAAAGGAGCCCTGAGAAGCGGTGAGGCACGGCCATGAAATAAACCCCCAGGGTATGTATTCACACCTGGCCGCATGAAGAAGGGCCAGGGAAGGCAAGAAGAAGCTGTGATTTAAAAGATAGCGGAGCGCCTGGGTGGCTCCGTTGATTGAGCCTCTAACTTTGGCTCAGGTCATGATCTCACGGTTTGCGAGTTCGAGCCCCACATCGGGCTCAACTGCTCTCAGTGCAGAACCCACTTCAGATCCTCTGTCCTCCTGCTCTCTCTGCATCTCCCTTGCTTTCCTCTCTCTCAAAAATAAATAAACATTAAAAACAGCTTTAAAAAAAATAAAGAAAACTCTAGCCGAGTATGAAAAAGCTATGGCAAGACGGTACTGAACCCACCCAGCCCTCCTTCCCGCAGGGCAGCCATTGCTAGTTGATTGTAGCACTCGTTCTCCAAGAGCCTGGAGCCAGCCTTGGAATCCTCAACACGGATTCTTGGCAGCTGCCCAGAACTGTTTCAAAAAAGTTGAGAACTGTCCTGCATCCCTCCCATAGCATCTCAGGGTAGAAAGGCCCTATGGGTCGCCTCTGAGATGCCAGATTTCCACCGGTCTCCCTTAGAAGAGGACACACAACAAGGGATTGAACTCCTCAAGGGTGCAGAGACCCAAAGTTGGCTGTTGCATCTGTGGATAGCCCCAAGGGGGAGAGACTCTTCTGCAAGTACAGACAGGAATATTTTGCGACCTAGAAGGTACTAGAAAAGGAAACTTGCATCCGGTATAAGTAGACAGAGAAGACAGGTGGTGGAGTTGACCGTTAAGGTGATTGAGAAGCCACAGAGGACATGCTGTGGGGACAGTACATTTGGAAACTTGCAAGAAATGAACTCCGACGTTCCTGTGAATGCTTAAATGTATTTGTGCCCGAGAGGAGCGCTCACCTGCACAGGTGAGCCTTGTTCACGTAATTAAATAGGGCAAAGCCAAACTTCGGCACTTGAATTTGAAAGTTCTGCCTTCACATGGGGTATGACCAGCATATTAGTGGAAACGCTCAGTGCCAACTACTTCACTGGAATGAAACACGAAGTGTCGATGTCCCTGTGTCACAGACCACATCCCTCAACCCCCCCACCACCACCATTGTTTTCACTGCTTTGTATTCAATCATCAGCTTTGTATCAGTGTGTGTGTGCCCGCCCTCCCGGCTCCGGACCGTGTGTCCTGCATGCCAGAACCCTTGCCCCCTGCGTGGTAGCCGGCAGCCATGTGACTGAGCCCCAAGGCAAGCTCAGTTCCCTCCCTTCGTTCCAGAAGATGTAGCCCGCGATTCAGGCTAGAAAGCTTTACGGCAGACCAGTTGTGCAGAAATTTAACTGGGAAGCTAATGGTTGTCATTTTTTTTTTTTTTTCCACTGAAAGAGCCAATAAATCCTGATCAGGGGGCACTTCTGTCACGCACCTGAATTTCACATATTCAGAAAAGCGTGAGCCTGTTGAGTAGATCTAATGAGCGGCTGTCACAGTCCACCCGTGAATTAGCACGTGTTCCTGACGGCCCGGCGGTGACTTAGCTCGTTCTTTCTTATCTTGCCTACCAGTTCCCTGGGAAAGTTTTGCATAAAATGCATGAATTTGGGGCTCTGTATTACAAAATTCAGCGTGGAAGACGTTGTAATTTATAGCGTTAGGGACATAAAACCGTGTGGATCAAAACGCTGGCCATTTAAAAATCCACGGATATAGGGTCTCAGCCAATAACCACAAGGTGTGCTCGCGGGTCAGTCATGGACAAACCTGTTGGAAAGTCACAGCTGGTTTTGAAAATGAAAATCCCACCAAGGCCGTGAGTGACCGGGGGCGGGGGTCCTGCGGACGCCCCGAGGCTTCCTGCCCCACCTGTCTTTCCCACAGCAGGTGTGGTTTTCCACTTCTGCCTAAACAGGGGGGTCAGCTGTTCTCTGACTCAGAGCACAATACATTGGAGTAAAATTTCTGACGGCCCCCCTCACTTTCTGAACTCTTATCACTAGCTCTCCAGAGCTCGGGAGCCAGAGAGAGTCAGGGAGCGTGGGATGATGCTCAAGGACCCTGCAAGCAAGCAGAGGACCCCCTGAGGCTCCACTGTTGTGTTCCCATGGGCCGCCCCTTCCCCTTCCTGGGACATCCCCACCCATTCCTTCCCCCAAGCTTTCCTGGGTCTTCTCCAAGCGAAGCCCAGCTTGGGGGGGGATGGGCTTCAGCCAGGGCCCGTCCTGACCTGCACTCAGCACCCGCACCCCACCACACACCCTCATCACACGAGCCTTTAACAACTTCAGGATTGTCGCGGACCTTTGAGAAGCTAGGGGAAGCCGTGAGCCTTCTTGCCAGACGAACCTCATTCACGTGCCCTAAGGCCGGGTGCGTTCATCGGAGAAGGCTTTCAGCAAGTTTTGCCAATGGACGTACCTTCGGGTGCTGTTCAGAGCGAGGTCCAGCTCCCCAGCGGGCTGAATCCGAAAACTGCAGCAATGGTGACTTTACTCAGAGCACGATACCGTGAGTCATCAGAACGTGTCGAGATTTTGCGTAGAAGCGGCACGGGCCTGTTTCCGACACAGGTTGTGGTCATTTAGGGGAGTGGTTCCCCAGAGCAGGCCGTGCATTGAGAATCCCCGGAGAGGGGTTGGTGGCATCGACGGGGTCAGGCGGAAGGGGTCTCTCCGCCTCAGTGGCTGAGGCTGCTCCTCTCCTGAGACAGAGGGAAGCAGGGAAGGGTAGCTGGAGAAGGCTGCGATCGCTCTCCAGAGCGGAACGGCACCCTTATCTCGAGGCTCAGGGGCTCCCGGGGAGGCAGGGCTCTCTGGGAGGGAAGCCCAGAGGAGGCCGGGCTGACCCGGGCAGCAGGGAGCCGGGCAAAGGTCAGGGGCTGTGAGGGCTGCTCAGGAGCTGGGCTAGGGGAGCTGAGAGCGTGCGAGATGGGGGGTCTGGTGCCGTAGACGTGACCACGTGCAGAGCGGTCATCGAAACCGCGGTCTGCCACACAGGCCATAGGTGGTTCTCATCACGAATACCACCTTCTCACCGGGCAGTTGTCATGCAGCTTCACGAGCTTGGTGACTGGAAACCACAAACCAAATGAGGTGTTGTGCCTGTAACTCGTGCTCAAGATTTCTTCGTGGCTCCTGGTAACTGGTCATGCGGTCCCTTTTTTCTCTGTGGCAGTAACGAGGGGAGGGGGTGAGAGAACAGAGCGTGTCCCATGGCCCAGGCCCTGTCAGCCTCAGTGGCACACGTCACTTAGCCGGTGGGTGACACTATGGAGTAGGTGACCTCTCCCCCCATCTTCAGGGTACGCAGGTGAGCCTCGGAAGAGTCGAGACTCCGTCCCAAGGACCCCACTGCGGCAGGTGGTACAGCAGGGTTTCACGGCAGGTCCCCCTCTTCTCCGTGCGGACGGTCGCCCCACGGCAGCCGCGAGGTCGCCTCCCATCACCCGGAGTCCCGCCCACTCTCCAGGCGGGAGGTGATAGGACGAAATTCCGCCATAGCAACTCTTGTGCCGTCAAAGAGCAGAAACCCGCAGGCATCCCCGTTTGCCGCTGCGGTATCCGCGGATCTCCACGCAGACGCTAAGAGAAATCAAGAGTGTACCCCGACATTAGCGGGTATTAACTTAATTTTTGCCCCACAGATACCTCGACGGTGCAGCGAGCTGCAGTGTTATTTTTCCCGCAGTCGCTTCCTCTGTGCCCAGCACAGAGACGCTGACATCACTCACTGGTTTTCATTTTTCCTCATCCCCTGAGCATCGATTGAACCCTAGCTAACCCACGCTGGCTTTAGGAACCAAACCTTGAGTGTTTGGAGGTCGGCGGATTCAGATCTCCGCCGCGTGTGCTGCTGGCCCCATGCAGGCGCGATTGAACCCAAAGGCGCTTTTATGGCCGAGGCCCGGCAGAGGGGCCGCGGTCGCATGAAAGCTAAAGTCTTCATCCCCACCACTCTGTGTTTCAGAACAAGAAGAAAACTTTGAGTTTATCATCGTGTCCCTCACTGGCCAGACGTGGCACTTTGAAGCCACCACTTATGAAGAGCGAGATGCGTGGGTCCAGGCCATCGAGAGCCAGATCCTAGCGAGCTTACAGTCCTGTGAGAGCAGCAAGAATAAGGTAAGACCCTTAGCATGCCGCCCCCCGAAATCAAGAGCCGCTGATCGTTAAAGGGAAGTGAAGGCCCCGGAGTGATGCCCCAGGGAGGGGAAGCGTCATGTGATGTGTGTGATGGGCAAGACCCAGTTATCCTTCCTGAACCACAAGCTGAATAATTGAAAAGATAAAAAAAACACTTTGTGTCGATACGTGTCGCGTGTTAGCGTCCTCGCTCAGCCACGTCCGTGCGGCAGCACATTCTAAACCTTCTCTCTCTCAGCGAATCCCAAATGTAAAGCGTTGACCTCCTTGTGGTGCACGATGGGATCTTTTAGTTAGGCTCACGCAGCCACATTGATTTTGTTTTACGCAGAACATGCTCGGGAAAAGAGGGGCAGACTTAAAACGTTAACCTGTTCCCTCACAAGCGCACCAAATTCAAACCCATGTCAAGCTGGAAGACCCAAGTCGTTACAGATGGGCGTCCGGGAGGAGGAGAGGCACGTATGTGAGCGTCCGGGGAGTTTGGCGAGGACGCCGGGTCCGTCGCCTAGACTCTGCTGATGACGCCCGATACGTGTTTTATTCGGTAACCCAGACGGGATTCTTGGCAGTCATTGAGCCAGAAAACAAACAAAATTTAAGCTGCATTTTCTAGATCCCTCCTGCGATACTCCTCCGAGAGGACTCATCTTTCCCATGAGGGCTTCCCTCCGATTCCTGATTTTGGTGGCCTGGATGCTTTCAAACCCTTCTCTGGGACATTTTAGAGTCTTGAAGAGCATTTTGATTGTTCAAACTACGATCAACCGGAAACCGAGAGGCAGAGGCAGACCATCGCCACCCACCTGCGGTTTCACTCGTAACCATTTAAGGAAATTTCTGCCGATGATTTATGCTCAGCTTTGTCATTGAGAAGGGAGTCTGTCTTTCAGAAAGGTGGCATGTCCTACTTGATCACCCTCTTTCACCAGGGTAAACCAGGCCACAGCCATTATTATTATAATGCGATTTGCTTCACTTCTGTAAAGATGTTTTTTACCCAGGGTGGGGAGAATCACTGCCTTTCCTTTTCCGAGTCCCTTGGCTTTACTGAGTCACATCCACAGATGGGGACTCCTGAGGCGAATGCGGGGAAGCTTCCGGATCTCCTCGAGGGTGGGGGTTGGTGACACACGTCCCACACAAAGCATGGGAGTCTAGTTCCAAAACCGGAGCGCAGAGAGCACGTGGCTGCACAGACAGACGCATCCCCAGGCTTTGTACACAATCACAGTATTTCAGGTTAGGCTCTGAATCCAGCCCACGTCGTCCAGATTCAGGAAGAAGTGAATCTCCCGTTGCCTTTTTTTCCATTTCACACACTTGCCAGGCCCTTACCAGCTCTTTGGGAGAAGAGACGGCATCACTTCTGGGCCTGACGCAGACACCAGCCTAAAATGCTGTCCCTTTCTTCTAGCCGTGTGCACCGGGCAGCGGTCTCCCTGGGGGGGGGGGAACCCATGGAGCACCAGGGGGGATGAGGTCGCACCTGTTCACCTTGGATGTTTGAGTGTCAGAGTGCCCAGCATGGAAATCCCGTCCAATTTCCCTCCCAATAGCTGGAGGGAAAATGCAGACCTAGTTGAGAATGAACTCTTGAGAAATTGTAGCTGCCTGTGGGTAACTCAGAGTTGGGGGCGGGCATAGGCATACACACACACACACACACACACACACACACACACACACACACTGCGGAAGTCGGACAGGTAGACGGACGCAGGTAGGCACGTGTACACATAGTCCAGATGCCAACGCAAATTGTTAAATACGCTTTGAATACTTGGGTGTCTAACCAAAGGGATTAAAATCCTAGTGCATTGTGTTAATTACATAGTAGAAGTGAATAAATTGTAATTTCTGTTGCTAGGTAGTGAGCACTCAGTCGTTTCCCATCAAACAGTTGACATGAGTTGGTTCAGCTTATGCATTCTGACATGAAAATCAAGCTTATTTTAAGTGTCCTCTGAAATTTGTTTGGGTTTATCCCAAATTAAACTTACACACCATAAGCCTTTAAAAACAGTACGTAACACCATGGGGGAGGGGAAGGGAGAAAAAAGGAGGGGAAGGAAAAAAAAAAAGAGAGGGAGGGAGCCAAACCGTAAGAGACTCTTAAAAACTGAAAATAAACTGAGGGTTGATGGGAGGTGGGGGGGGGGGGTAGGTGACAGGCATTGAGGAGGGCACCTATTGGGATGAGCTCTGGGTATTGTATGGAAACCAATTTGACAATAAATTTCATATTTAAAAAAATAAAAACAGTACGTATCCTGGGGCACCTGGCTGACTCAGTCCATAAAGCATGCAACTCTTTTTTTAATTTTTTTTAAATGTTTATTTATTTTTGAGAGAGACAGAGACAGAGTATGAGTGGGAGAGGGGCAGAGAGTGAGAGAGAGAGAGAGAGAGAGGGATACACAGAATCGGAAGCAGGATCCAGGCTCCAAGCTGTTAGCACAGAGCCTGACATAGGGCTCAAACCCATGAAACGTGAGATCATGACCTGAGCCGAAGTCAGACGCTTATCTAACTGAGCCACCCAGGCGCCCCAAGCATGCAACTCTTAATCTCAGAGTCGTGAGTTCAAGACCCACATTGAGTGTAGAGTTTACTTAAAAAAACAAACAAACAAACAAAAGTTAGCTTAAAAAGACAGTACATATTGTTTCACCGAGCACCTCTGCTTCCAAAAATTTGTCATTAGTAAGTAATGACAAAAGCAGGCAAAGTTTTAGCAATAAGCAAGTTCTTTACAGCACTGTTTACCCTGGAGAAAAATTGGAAGCCACTGAAATGTCCATCAAAGAAAACTTCATAAAGAAGTTCTTGTAAGTGGAAAAACAACTTCAGATGATGACATTGGAGGACAGCATGGTGCCATTGAGAAATGACAGTCATTAGGCTAAAAGGCAGATCTAGGGGTACGTGGGTGGCTCAGCGGGTCGAGCGTCCGACTTCGGCTCAGGTCACGATCTCGCAGTTCGTGAGTTTGAGCCCCGCGTCGGGCTCTGTGTTGACAGCTCGGAGCCTGGAGCCTGCTTCGGATTCAGCGTCTCCCTCTCTCTCTCTC